CTCGGCCAAAATCGCTTAGGCGGTTACAGCGCCAAATAAGAAGAAGAGAAGTGTACATATACAGTATATAGTTGTGTTGGTAGGAGATTTATCTATTTTTTCTCTCACCTATGAAAAATCGCTTTCAGACGGTCTGAAAAGACACACTGATTCGTACCGAAAAGGACTGATATGTAATCACATATGTATGTATGTACTTACATATATATGGGCATTCTTATGTACTACTGTATATTAATACAGAACCGTTTTGCTAATATTTTTTAAATAAGTTCTCTATAAAATGTGCTGTTTCGTTTCCCAACAGCTTTTCGCAGCCTTTCATTTTAAATTTTACTACAATTTCCTTTCTCTACTTCCTTGCGTTGTCTGCTCTGCCGTTCCTTTTGTTCCATTCGTTCCGTTCGTTCCAATCAGATGACTTCACAGTTTTCGCGCCTTTTTTCAACTGGATGTGAAAATTCGTTTGGCTGCAATGTTTCCTCAAAATTGTTGCGATTTATTAAATTTAAAATAGTGTAAAGTGATAAAGTGTGTTTTTGAAGTGTTAAGGTTAGCAGTGGTTAAATAAAACAAGTGAAAATTTAGTGTATTGAGAGGTAATGGAGCAAATAGCCAAGTTCTTGCCCACTCGGCTTTGTGTGTGAAATCCTGGTTGCTGATTTGCTGGTTCGAAAAAGTTAATATATAGGTCAGAAATGTTTTCATTTAACGAATATAATTTAATAGAAAGTGTGAATGTTGTTAATTAGTGAATAATTTCTGTGAATAAAAGCTTTGTGTTTTATTTGTGTTTTGTGCGAGGACGCGCATACAAATCAAGTGACCGCAGGAGCAGGGTGACACAAAAGTGAAATTTAATTAGGAAACTATCCATGTAGAATTTGATGTAAGTATATTAAATTACATATTACATACATATATTTGCATTATATAGGATTTGAAAAGGGGTAGGAAATAGTCGTTATTTGGTTTTTCTCTGATATGGGGATCTTTATTTTGAAGATTTCTACTAAAAATATTTTATTTGTCAAAAATTATCTTTATTTGGGACTTATATTCAGAGACCATAACGATTATAAGAAATAAAATTAAATATTACTCTATAATTATTATTGAACAATGGAAATGTTGTTTTCGTCTCGCGGGACGATTATTTTGAAGTGTAAATTATTTTCGCCATCTCATAATATTTAGATACGTCTTCTCATAATAATCATATGGGATTTTTATTTTTTTTCGTCTCTCGGGAAATTTATTTCATGACGGAAATGATTTACGCCTTCTCCAAATAATTATATGGGACTTTTATTGAATGCAACTTTTTAATTGAGTTCGGAGATTTGTCTCGTTAAATATTTAAATCAAATCTGTATCGTTCGTTCGATTTTCAAAAATGTATTGTCAAATTAAACGGCTTTGCTTTTACGTGGTTTTGGTTTATTTAAAGAGGTTGCCAGATGTTAGCAAATCAAATTCCAATAATCGATCTCGCAGATATTTGCGTTTAATTTCGTGAAATCGTCATTACATGTACCGATTCTACAAGTATTAAGAGAAAACGTGGGACGTACATCATTGTACACGTCGTCTTGAAATAAACGTTACGAGAGACGATAAAAATAAAAGTCGCATATAATTACTACGAAAATACGTAAATCATTTCCGTTTTGAAATAAACGTCCCGCGAGATGAAAAAAAATAATGTGGGCATAATTATTATGAGAAGACGTAAATAATATTCGTCTTCAAATAAACGTCCCGAGAGACGAGAAAAATAAAAATCCCTATAATTATTATGAAAAGACGTAAATAATTTTCATTTGAAAATAATCATCACACGAGACGAAAAAATATATTTCTCGTAAATAATTGTTATACAAAGACGAAAAAAATTCTCTTAAAACAAGGCGACGTTGTTGATCTCAAATATTAGGATAATAATTATTTTAGGTCTCTGCTTATATTTTTTCGCACAGAACATTTCTAATATTACTTGTGTTCTTATAGCTGTTTTGGATCCTTTAGTGTAAATATAAAAATATTAAAATATAAAAAAACGATTATTCTTGTTCCTAAGAATTAAAAACAAATCGCAAAAATTTAAGTTCAACGTAAACGGAGTCAAGAAACTGATAAGCTGCCTGTAAGTGCAAATGATTATTTCCCTTCTAAAGGCGAATTCATATAAGGTGTTGATACCAGAGCAGCTAATTTCAAGAAGGATTTTACTGATTTGTCAAAATGATGTGTTTGTTGTACATTTGTTCGTGTTCTGATTGTCATTGTGCGTATAATTTGTTAGTGCAATTTTTGTTTTTGTGCTGCCACTATATGAATTCGCCTTGGTAGCTGTAAGTGGATATAGCTCGGAGTTGTTTAAAGAGAACTTTAGCATTATTTAATATGTATGGAAATATGTGAAAAAAGGGAACGAAATATAAATCTGTAATATAGCACTGGTTGATTTTTCCGTCAGGTTGAGAAAATGTATTTTTGAATAAGTATCCGTCCTCTATTGCCACATTTGGTTTAAAAACAAGCCTTTTCCGGCGTTGTACTATTTTCAGATTTATTTTTTTCGTTGTGAGTTTTGGTTTGGATACAAATATTCTAAACAAAAATTAAACTCATGATTGCATAATGCTAAAACCGGTTTATCGCCAATCAAACTTGATAAGAGATGAGGGAAAGTCTTTAAAAAATATGATTTAAGTTGATAAGAAAGGGATATATTTTCAACATTATAACTAAGCTATTGTGGCGGTTACAATTTTGCCAAGTGTTTGGTCGAGCGTCCCATTGCTTTTTATTTAGAGAATTTTGGAGACGAAAATTTAGAGTAGCGTTTGTCAGAATTCCACAGCTCTCCATGACCGAGAAGACGTCGAAAATGTGAACCCAAACACACATTTGTCAAGTGATCAGGATTACGATATTTCTTCTACATCGCAAGAGGGAGGACGCACAGTGTGTAACTTGAACTTTTTTCGTGACAAATTTTAAATAGAACGAAAACAGTTAGCGTTTCAAGGCTTTTGAGATGGAGAATTGAGGAAAAATAGTTTCTCTCGATAACAAAATTTCCTTGACTTTTTAAATGACCTTCAAGGGGAAATTTTTTTATCAACTAATTACATGTTGTTTATAGGTAAAAAAGACAAAAAATCAAAATTTTCACTTTTCATGGTCATTTTGAACATAAAGGTAATTTTTTATTCAATGTGACCATCAAAAGTAAAATTTTGGATTTTTTGCCCCTTGATAATAGATGCATTTTTCAGTTCTTGAGACAATGGGAATGGATTCCTCGACGCAAGAACACCAAAAATAGGTGTTTAAAACTTTTTAAAAAGTTCACTGCCTACTGTTTTCAGGTCAAACAAGAAAAAAATTGAAAACCCCTAACTTTGAAGGATATTTGAAAGGTCAAGGAAATTTTGTTATCCAAGGAAACTATTTTTCCTGAATTCTCCATCTCAAAAGCCTTAAAACGCAATTGAATTTTTTTCGCTAGCTGTTCTCATTTTCGAGATATTAGAATTTGTCACAAAAAAAGTTTAATTTCCACACTGTGGGACGATAGGCTACTTAGGGTGTTCAAACGAAGATATACTTGAATGAAATAGGAGCCAAGGAGGCTATGTGTTTAATTGGGAAGTCGCCGCCAAAAAGGTGTTACAGTTTGCCAAGAGGATTGCAATAGCTTACCTAACCTAAAATAGATGCAATCCAGATCCTACAGACTACTAGTACGCACCTCTAATCACTTAGACTCAGTGGCTGCCAAACATACTACGATTAATTATAAAAAATTTGAAGCAAAAGGGGTAGCACATTGCGCCGAATAAAATCCATCAGCTAGCTTTTAAATAAAACACACAATTTTTTATTTACGTTTTTGGCCTTAAAGAGCGTTTAATATGATATTTTTTCATAGTATTTTCCAAGATATGTGATTAAAATTTCTTCCATTATTAATGATTAGTTTGTAATAGAAATGAAAGATATTCATATGCACTTAATGTTTTCATATACATAAGCGATTTTATGAGCTACTCAGACACTACTGAACTTAAAAGCTAATGACTAATGCTGTTTGAGAAAATCTAAATACATATTTGCCATTGTGTCAATTTTGAAACTTTATGTAGTAAAAAACGAAATTTTGATTTATTCAGATGTTCGTAATATACATATACTGACTTCCAAATGGTATGAAATTATCGAGCTATTTACACGGGGGGTACTTCAATGACCGCAAATTTTAGAAATAAAAACCAAACAGTAAAATTTTAAAAATAAATTTCCACGCATTCTTGCGTACTTAAAACTAAAAAAAAAAAAATATTTATTTAAACCGATGAAGATCTTTCGAAAGTTTTTCATTTTTGACGAACTGAATTAATTTCATTCATGGAAATTGCATTTTTTTTTTTTTAATTTATAACAAAAGACTTACGACACGAACTTTTGTGTTTGTCAAATTCCATTTTCCATGCGGAGTCATCTGCTTACATTGCTAATCTATATTAGTTTTTCTTGCTGCTTTTTTCGTTGCATTAACTTTGGTCTGATTTCGTTGCTTTTGAAAACTGCGTATCTATTTGCAGTAAATTTAAAATTACATAATTAGTAAATCCACTTAAATATGATTTTTAAATTATATGTATGTATATGTATATGCCTATATAAAATTGACTTGCATTGGTCCACTTAACGAAATTAAAATCTTCAACATACCGTAAGATTTTTCCTTTCTCTTTCAAGCTTTCGTTACTTAGTCAGACTGCTCTCTATGCTTGCGCGCAATGTAGCTGCTAAGTCTACGCTCGCGAAGCTAACGATTTTTTTGTTCTACGTACATACATACATACATATCTGTTTCGTATCTGTATTCTTCGTCGACATGAGACTATAAATTTTTCTTGTCTTTTACACTCACTTACTTTGCTAGTTGCTACTTTAAATACACAGTATTTGTTTGAATGTCTATAAAAAAAAAATGATTTACACCAAACGTTAATTTGCGCTTGGCACCAGCACACACATACACACACTCACACACGCACTTAAAACTGCACTGTACACTCGTCAAAGCGTCCAACCCTTAGACCGCCACAATTTTGCTGGGATCCACTTTAACGCGCAAAAATACTGTATCCTCTTTGATGAAAGGTCGCCTATGCAGCATTTCATGCGAAATGAAGCGTGGAAAGCCGAAACCCAACTGATCCGGTTCATTCGAGGGCCGCTGGAAGTTCTCCCATGTCGGATCGGGCACAAACGACTCAGCCACACCGCCCTGTCCGCTCTGCGCGCCTTGTTCGAATAGTGTGAATGTGATCGAGTGCGAGAATGGCCATTTCAGTAGCGCATCATATTCGCCCGGCAGCACTTTGATATACACCGATACGTGCGTGTTCTCGCCCGGTCCGTTGCCATTGAGAAACATTGAAGCCTGTAACTTGTAACCATATTGCGAGGTATAAAATGGCGGCGAAACCAACTCAAGTCCATCTTTGCTGCGCGCCTCTGTCATTTTGGCCGACCAATCGGTAATCTTCCACAGCAACGTGCCGGTGTAGTTGATCGAAAGCTTCGAAACAGCGGTCTTTAGCATTTGTATTTGTTGTCCTTGGCGTGAAGAGAGCGCCACCATGAGTGACAAATGTGACGCTGCATTTGCTTCCAAATGAGCTTCGAGCATGTGACGTGGTCCCTTGAAGCGACAGCCGGCCTCCTTGAAACTGCATGCAATCGCTAGTGCCTTACATTCATCACGCAAGTGCCCCTCCATGTCGCCGCGTGCAATTGGACCTGCATCACAGCGTTGTGGACATGTCATAGGCGCACGCGGGCACTGGGCTGCATGCAGCGGTAGTGTGTCGGAGGAGAATTCGCGTGTGCAGTGTATGCAACGACGCAAGCGTTTGGCACAATCCTTTGACTTGTGTAGCGTCATACGACCGCGCAGCACACGCTGACCACACTTGGCCTCGCAATAGACGGGCTCTTGGCCGCAAGTGCCGGCATGCTCTTCGAGGCCAGCGCCAGAGAATTCACTTTGACAGAACTCGCATTTTGTGCGTCGCATATTGCAGGTGAACTGTAGGTGATCGGTCATCATGATGCGAGGAATTTGTGCGCCACACTTATTCGGGCACTGGGTGGCGTCGTGCTTGCAAACGTTCAAGTGGCCCTGGAAGGAGAGAGAGATGAGGAAAATTTTTCGTTAGTCATGTAGAAATGCAGTGATATAGGATTCAGTAAATTGATAAAGGTAGCCTTAATAAACAAAAACTAGTAACCTTTACTAAGCGTGTTTTTTGTTTCTAAGTTGATTAGGAGGTCATTGTGTATGTTATCTATATCCGAAAGTAATGAGGTAAAACCAAACTTGCCAACATTCATCGCTACCAGTTAACATTGTTGTTGCTCTCACATACAAAAGTTTCGTTAATCTGGAAGGGATGAACCTAAGCGAACCGAGAAGTTGCGGCTCATGTTTTTTAAACCAAAGAACAATCAATGATATAACGGGTGATTTTTTTGAGGTTAGGATTTTCATGCATTA